AGTTATAAGAGCTTGGGGGAAATGCCCTTCAACCCTTAAAATGACCACTTCAGACCGAGGATGGTCAAAAGCTGACTTGGAATGAAGTGGCTTCCCAGAACTCATTCAGTGAAAGGAAAAATGCTGTCCGGCTGCTCAAATGTAAGTATATTTTTACATTTACATGCATACCACACATTTTTAAAAACATATGTTGGGATATCTTAGTTACACTGCATGAAAAGTGAGATTTTCGTCCCCGTAAACCCCCGTAAACTCCCGCAGATCTGCCTGATTTTCGTCAGTTTCCGACAATTTGCAACCCGTGCTTGTCCGCGTTTGTCGTGCCACAAATTGTCGGAAACGTACCATGACGTATGTGGAGAGCGATCAGCTGTACTAATGGCCCTAATTAGCATATGAATGCAGCAAACCCGCGCGGCTGGCCAGGTCTGGCTTGAATAACCTTCTCAGTATTGGCTGAAACCACTATTCTCAAACAAATGAAATCGCTCGTGATTGGCAGCAAAACCACACGTGGCCACGCCAGGCTTTAATTTTCTTACTGAGTATTGGACGGAACCACTTCTTTTTAAACAAGTAAAGTCGCTCGTGATTGGTTGGCATATATATATATTTACATATATATATTTATTCATATATATATATATATATATATATATATATATATATATATATATATATATATATATATATTTATTTATTCATTCATATATTTATTCATTCATATATTTATTCATTCATATATTTATTCATTCATATGGTGTGTATTTATGTTATTCTACACTACTACACAATTATTATGTTACCATCAAGGACATGAATGAATTTATACAGGAAATGAACATTTGCCAGGAAGCTGTTTATGCAAAGAAAGAGCTTTATTAAAACACACACAACTATATACAACGCGTATCCAAACACATGCGTTTCTAAAAATTAAAAGTCCGTGAACGGTCCGTTTGCTTCCTCGGGGTTGGAGGTAACGGGCAGCATTCCCTCCGAGGCAGGTCCGATGTGCAGACGCCTACTGTGCGTGGCCCTGTACTAAGGCATCGCTTCTAACCGGGACAGCAGCTTAACACAGAGTTCAGAGGGATCCGGCCTACGAAATGGCGGCGACCGTACAATCCATCCAGAGACACCGCTGACGACGGCGGACTTCCAGAGTTCCACTTCCTCATCTGCTAGCACATTCTGCCTCGCTTTCAGCAGCTGAAAAAAAAAAACAATGAATCAGCGCACTGCGTATGGACACAACACATCTATCAATGCACCTGAAAAATAGTCACCAAATAAAGTCTTACCCTCTTTCTTCTGGCCCGACTCCGAGCAGATAGCCTCCGCACGCAGCGTGTGGCTGGCTGCGTATATCTGAAGCTCCTGCGTACCGTCTCAAAATACGTCTTACAGGCAGCTGGAAAACAATTAAATGAGAGCGGTATAAAAAAAAAATCAACGCAAGTCACAGTAACAAGGAAGGAGAAAACATTAAAACAAGTCACTTACACACAATGTCGTCTTTATCATCATCGTGCAAATCTGGACTTGCTGATTATGGCTCCGAGCAAAAAGGAGGTCTGTGAAAACAAAATGTACAGCTATGATCGGTATCCATTACCTTTTACCGCAGAATGAAAGCATATTCTTTAAATCTTACCCTTGCTCCGGTTCATAGCGCCTGCAATTAGTCTCCGAGTTGTTAAGACGGCGTACTGCTTCCTGTAAATCACAAAAAATGCACTTTAATAAAGCTTGTTCTTGCAAGGCTAGGCTAGATAGGCTAATAGCTAGGCTGCTATTAGCCATAGCTCAGGCTAGGCTGCTTTTAGCTTAGCAGGCAGTAATCGAACATATATTTACCGCTAGCATCTCTTCTTTGAGTTCGTCTTGTTCGATGCAGAGTCGCCATCGCGTCCAAGAAGAGTTTTACCCCGAAATCCCACATACTCCGTCTGCGCTCCGCTCCGCCCCGCTGCGCTCCAGACCGCCTGCACAAAGCAAAGCCTACAGCCGCCGCTGTGGCTCCGTCCCCTCCTCTCTGAGTTCCTTGGAGATCGTAGAGGGCATGCGCCAGATGAACCAGGGTTTCCGCGGATCATTAAAAATAATTATAATTCAAAATTCTTTTTTTAATCAAGGCCTTAATTGGCACTAAAATTAATTAAATATGTTTATCGTTGCATTTATGATTCTTTAATAAAAATGCTTCTAAAAACAATTTCGTCAGATATTATATCGCTATTAATTTGCGTGGAACTGTTTATAAAGCCGTATGTTCGGAAAGGAAGCTCGAGGCGGAGAAAAAGCTAGAGAATATATATACGTATATATGTGTGTGTGTGTGTGTGTGTGTTTACATACATACAGGAGTCATGGAACTGTGCTTACAGCTCCTTCATATTTCATGTACACTAATAACTTGTGTACATGGTTCTTGTTGATGGCATTAAAATCATTTCTAATAGCATTAAAATAGCATTAAATTAGAGTCACTCATTCCTGTATGAACCCTGTGAGCGCTTAATTTAATATGACATATTAAAAAAATCCCACCATCATCCAGCATATGTTCAGTTTCTGCCCAAATATATATATATATATTTTTGTAGATTTTTGTAACAGAGATAAGGATAATTCAAAACTGCTTTTTTTTTTATGAACTTGTTCTCTACAACTTAGCATCTCTTTTCGTTCCTGTAATAAGAAGTTTCTTTTAACTGGATTTGATTAAACTTTAAGTCCCTCGGTATAAAATAAATATTTTAATGGAGATGAGAAATCTGCTTCCTGGTTGGTGAATAACCAATAGTTTGGATCCAATCATTTAAATAAACGGTGTTAGTTTTTTTTTTTTTTTTTTTTTTAGATATTTATAAGAATTGTGCTATAATTTCTAGTCACCGATCTGTTGCTGCTATATTTTAATTTGACGAACCGGAATTTGTCGATGTTCTTTTTCCTGTTTGGTGCAATTGCAATTGCGGATCTTGACCTGGCCAGACCGTATGACCACAGTGTACCAATCTTCTGATGGCTACTTCCAACAGGATAATGCACCATGTTATAAAGTGAATCATCTCAGACTCATTTCTTGAAACTTTTCCACTTAAGTAATTGTGAATTGAGCATATTGACAGACAATATTTTATTTTTTATCTTAAATGCAAATTTTTTTTAAAATAATTACTGCTCTAAATGTATTGCTCTGTCAGCTAGAGATCTGTTTTGGTCTCTATACTTTAATTAAATAAATCAATTCAAGCTAAAATGTAAGAGGCTATACTAAGCCTGATCTCTTTGTATCAGAGATTTTCTTCCTCAGAAAGATGTCACTTGGGGTAAAACCCCCCCTGCAACCCTGGTTTGCATTTGTATAGCTCACAGCATGTTCATTTACATGTTAAAGCCTCCCCTAGAATTCCATGGGGGGGAGGCATGGGGGGAACACTGCCTAAGAAATTCCACGTCAATTTCTGACAATTTACGGGAGTTTTCGACGAAGCCTGCAAATTGCCGTAAACTGCCGCTAACCTGAAGTTCCACGACAATCTACAGTGCCGTATATTGACGAAAATCCCACTTTTCATGCAGTGTTAGACGTAAATACACCTGAATTCATGACTGTGAATATTGCAACATAGCTATTTTTCACCTTGTCTATTCAGCCAAGGTTTTGGTTTGGCTGAATAGACAAGGTCCTCTACTCTCCTGTACAGCTGGTGAGGCTGCAATGATAATGAGAATGGATTAACTCAATGGCTGCATTCTATGTTTTGAAAGCTTAAACTTGAGTTCACCCCCTCTGTTTAAGGCTGGTTTTTCTTTCTAACATAGATGGCTTCCTTCAATCTCCTCTCAATTTTTTTTATGCCGTAATCTCGCTTAAATGGGCAAGATCCTGGTCACAAAGGAATTGCAGCCATTACGTGGTCTGACTTTGATAAGACTGTGATCAATTCAGCACTTTTGTGTCACAACAATACTTGGTTGTTGGTATAATAACTGGAACTGCGCATGCCTGAATGGGACGATTCAGCACCGCCCACTGGCGGTAATCCGGGATTCATACAACCATAGTTAAATGCATAACTTTCCTTATCAGTTATTAGGAAAACATTGTCAGGTCTCAGAAAAACATAGTCAGTTCTTATGAGAAATATTGTCAATTCTTGGGAAAATATGTTGTCAGTTCTTGAGTATGAGAAAAAAAAGTTGACTTTCATCAGGTCTCAGGGAACTGCTCTTTTTTTTTTAATGAATATTTATTTTGGATCTTACAAGGCAAAGTTTATTGATTTTTTACCACAATGTTTGCCAATCTGACCAATCTGCATTGACACACTATGAATCATGGGAAATGGAGAAACACATGCTTCGCAATCTGCACTTTTGGTTTTTCTTTATTAAACAAAAATACAACAGCTAGAACTATCATAAAGGATCAATAAGATGTATGAAATCTTATTGATTTTGTGTCTCCTACATACAAAATGGAGTGATTCCAATGTGAAAGAACAGAGTAAAACAATGTAAATTAAACCAATAACTAATAAAATAATAAAAATTATATTTAAATAAACAACTATATACTTTTTTCAGTTTTATTCCATTAGTATTTTGCATTTTACTCTGATTTTTCATAAACCCATTTGATCAGCTCTTTATCACTTAATGTTTTTAGACCATTTGATTGTGTATGGCTGTTATTGTAATATTTTAGAATATATTTTAAAAACTCATATTCGATTGCTAACCTCTGTTTTAGATGTAGTAGTATAAAAAATATCAAAATACAGCATGAAATGGAAGTTTCCACATAGTTTGTACATTAAAACGAAATATGAAGGGTTTGGAAATGATGACTACATTTTCGCCATTTTGTTTTAGGGGTTGCACATATTTTAAACTGTTCACTCACTCAAGTGCCGTGACAGTCTGGTAGGAAACAACAAGGAATTTAAGCACTTCAAAAAGTTTGTATTTCTTTGGTCATAAACCAGGGGAGAGCGAGTACACAGTCCCCCACTACCACAAAGTATGCAATCGAGACTCCCACATCTGGGGAATTTGCAAAGGTCAGCACAGCTGGGGTGCAATGGCTAAGCTTCACTCTGAGTTAACCTCCTTCATGATCAAGGTGTTGCCCCCATAGATATCCATAATAAAGGCTAGATGTCTTACGGCGGAGTCTCAAACGGCATCACCGGCGGCCATCTTGCCTCAGGCAGGCTTTCTGTTGTGCTCTGTGGTACCAAATGTAAGGTGAGTGATCAGCACGAACCCAAATACTCTTACCTCACTGAATTCTTGACGGATGTACAAACAGTTTGGTTTCTTACAAACATTATGAACGTGGCTATTATTCTTGATGCTTGAACATGTCGAAATTGCAGATTTTCTTGTCGAAAAATTACTTAATTGCGCAGCATAGTTGTGCATCACGGCTACTTGCGCAAGTTATCAAGTCTGAGACTATTGGTCAATTATATAAGTTTTACTGACACCAATAACGATTGTGTGACAATTAATCTTTGGTGTAAATTACAATCTTTGTGGATGTGGTTGTAGTTATTAGTTGGCTAATAACAATAATCTGAGTGTTGTTGTATTTTCATTATTAGCCTAACGTTAGCTGGCTAATTGTTATTAGCCAGCTAACGAAGTGAGACCTAACGTTAGTAAGTTAGCAGCTAACGTTACAGTTTAGCTAGCTGCTAACATTAACCAGCAACTTTACATCAGTGGAAGAGGCAGAATTTGACATGATTTCCAATCGATATGGTTTGTCAACACATCTTACATTATGTTACAGGAATTTGCTGGGTTTATTAAAAGGAAGATGCCAGACTTTTGCTATGACATAATAGTATTACAAGATTGTTGTTGACTCAAAGCATTTATAAGTTTGTATTAGTTTCATTTGGACAACTTAAAGATGGTGTTGTGCCAAACATTTTCAACTTTCCAGCTCATCTTCAAAGGGCATGTGTATCATTGAAATTTAATCACATATTGATATACCAATCTTATACACTGTGAATTGTTGTTGGTCACTTTTGTTTTTGTTTCTGCAGGTTATATAATGTGTAAGCAGGAGGAGAAGATCTTCCATCCCCGTTTGCTGACATTCCTGCACTAGTACATGACCACAGCTACCTTCCTGTCCGCTTTGATGGCCTTGTGGACAACGCTCTCTTGTACATTACACAGAAGCTCAATAAAACCGTCCTTTTCAAAGGGCATTAGCCAAGCTATGTTTTTTGGGTCATTTTTTAAATCTCTGTCTTCCATGTGTATACCATCACAGTAGTGTAGGTGGGGATTTCAATATGCTACATCTATACTTGTGAAGGGGACTATTGTACCAATTTTAATAGCAAATAAATGCCACTTTTATAATGGTTTAAAAATAGGAACTTTTGTGTAATTACCCCTGATATATAATCGGAATAGTCTACATGAAACTTCAAAGTGTTACCTTTAATTTGAAACCTGGATTATGCTTCTACACCAAGAGGTTGCCACACAATAAGCCTTTTTTGTCAGTATTTCATATTTTATTATAACAATAATATTCATATTATAAAAGTATGTATGTAAATATAAATAAATTAGGACTGTGAAATAATTAATCACACCCAAATAAAGGTGTTTACAGTGTTGTGCCTGAACGCGTTCATTGAACGAAAGTTCATGAACTCGTTCATATTTTGGGCGAACGTGAACTGAACGTACTGCATTACTGCCTGATGAACGTTATTGTGAACTTGTTCATTCTGGTGTCTGTGAACGGCACGCTCTCTCAGTTCAGCTCCGTTCAATAGGTTGCCAGATTTCTATAGAGCCCTCCAGGCGAAACCCCGGCTAAATCACACCGTAAACAGGCCTTAATATGTAGCGGGAAAAACACCCAATCTGGCAACACCAGCTACCAGTGTCGTAGCCTACAGCCGCGTGTGTCATCAAAACAAAATGCAGCGTGGAAGCCATAGCAGCATGGAGGCGACCGTGGAGGTGACAAAGCAGCAGTATGATCACTTAAAACTGTTTTATGACCAGGTGGTCGGTGAGGATGATGGCAACAAATTTGCCCGCCGGCTTTCAGTAAAAAAATCTGCACTTCAGTAATCTTAAATTCCTACCTCAGCCTGGTCCCTCAGGTTGTGTTAGTAAAATCTTCTGGAGCGGAGGTCTTCAACAGGGGATCCGCGACCCCTAGGGGGTCTACGGAGGTACTGCATGAGGGTCTGCATGGTTAGTTGATATTTTTATATTCCCCCCCTGCAATTTTTTCCCCCACTAATTGAAATGTCTTTAAATCCACATTAACATGAAATCAACACACTGTAGTAAACAGATAAATGGAGACAAAAGATGTCTTTCAGTCATCAATGTACACATTCAGCGACACACAGGAGCTCTTTCAAGCTGGGCACCGTTTCCTTCACAACAACCAGGAATCAGAATCAGAAAAACTTTAATAATCCCAGGGAGAAATTAATTTCTTTACATTACTCCATCTGTAATAGAGTGACTATAGGACACAATTTCATACAATATATATAGTTAGGGGGTCCCCGCTCCATCTCGCCATCAGTTTGGGGGTCCTTGGTCTGGAAAACATAGAAGACCCCTGTTCTTGAGGGTTTTACTATCCATGTAACTTGTTTGTTAAACCTGCCTGGTATCATTTTCCAGGATTCCAGTATTCCTTTTTAGTATGTACTGAAATGGGATTTCAAATGGAAAAAAACATAAAAATAAAAAAAAACATTTGCACCTTAAAGACTACTTTCCTGTTTTTCTTTTAATAATTCCTCATAAAAAAGACCATTCAAGCAGCACATTTTTCCTGATGTTTTTGAGAATATACTGTAGGGGTGAAAGCTGCAGCTGCTACTAGTGTGAAGTGAATGGACAGCAACAAAGCGTTAAAGCAGCAATGGGGAAATGCTGTCCCCTCAATGCTAATGTAAACCCTGGTTGGATAAGGATTCAAAACTGGATATGAAGATGAAATCTGACGCACAGTTTCAGAGTTACAACTGATAAAATAATTGCTGTCTGTGGTTCTACAGTAGGCTATGGAGTAATTGAGCAATATATGAAAAAAAAACTATGAACTAGTTCATTTTTTGGTTTTGAATTATGAACTATGAACTGAACTAGTTCATTTTAAAATGTGTGAACTGAACTTTGAACTAGTTCACATAGAAAGAGAACTTTCCCAACACTGGGTGTTTATATGTATATATATATATATATATATATATATATATATATATATATATATATATATATATATATATATATATATATATATATATATATATATATATATATATATATATATATATATATAAATATATATATATGCATATTTATATATATATATATATATATATATATATATATATATATATATATATATATATATAGATATAGGTATCTATATCTATATATATATATAGTATTCAGTACACTGAGTTTTAATAGCATATATTGATTTAACATAAATACCTTGTGCATGTGTATATTTATTGCACCTGTATGTTCTATTCAATGTTCTTTTCATATGAAATGAAGTCAGTTGATGAAACCTTTATGAGTCCAGCTCCTTTTTTCACAGTGTTGTGTTTTTGTTAGCTCCTCCTGAAGAGAATACCTACAGTGCTAATCACACAGTATTTTAGCTGAAATAAGGCCAAACTAAAGGACAAAAGCACCTTAAAATGGCATTTCTCTGTACTGATTTGTTTTTCTCTTCCTTCTGCAGATGGTTGAGTGACTGAATTTAGAGAACAAATCAGTTTTTCTCCTGGCTTTCTGCTGTTAATGGGCGTCACCAATATAATGTGTCTGATATCTACTATTTACTTGAGCTGTGAGAGTGCTAGTCAGTCCAATTGAAGACATGAAAGAGCCGTGCTTTTCAGATCAACCCCCATCCCCTTCAATACCACCTTCTTACACAATGCTAATGGAAACAGGACAAAAAGCTAGGCCCACCATTTCCTTGTAAATTAGTAGCCTTTTGATGCGTCTCATTTGACACACAAAGCATGAAGTGTGTGAGTCTGTGGAAGCTGAATAAGCCGCTCCCCTGGACTCATACCTCGAAGGGGGGGGGGCCTGTTCATATTTCATATGATGAGTTTTCAGAGTTCCTTTCTGATTTGGTATTAAATACTGACAGGGTCATCATAGTGGGAGATTTTAACATCCATGCTGACATTGAAGGTGATAGCTTAAGAGCAGCCTTTAATGCTATCTTAGACACTATTGGCTTTGTTCAAAATGTGAATAGTCCCACGCATTCTCATCTTCATACTTTGGATCTTGTGCTGACATACGGCATAGAATGTGAAGAAATAACAGTATTTCCTCACAACCCTGTCCTCTCTGACCACTTTCTAATAACCTTCAGGATTACTTTAACAGAGTTCTCCTCCCCCAAAAGAAGGTTCAATTTTAGTAGATCTTTATCAGATAGTGCAGTTATAAATTTTAAAGAATCTGCTTCACTTTCTCTCTGCTCTGTGTCACTGAGCAGTGCTGCAGAGTGCAAAAGCTTAGCTTATTCCCCTTCACAGGTTGATGATTTTGTTGAGGGGGTTGCTAGTTCTCTGCGTATTGCCTTAGACAACGCAGCTCCTTTGAAAATGAAAACCGTTAAAAATAGAAAGCTTGCTCCTTGGTTTAATGCAGAGCTGCGTACTTTGAAGCAAAATGCTAGGAAACTGGAGAGAAAATATCGCTCCACAGGCCTGCGAGAGTCCTTCCTAGTCTGGAAAAATGGTTTACTGCTGTATAAGAGGACCCTTTGTAAAGCAAGAGCAGCATACTTCTCCTCATTAATAGAGGAGAATAAGAATAATCCTAGATTTCTTTTTAATACAGTTGCCAAACTCACCCAGAGCCATAGCTCTGTTGAACCGTCCATTCCACCTGCTCTTAGCAGCAATGATTTTATGGGATTCTTTATAAATAAGATTGATCTTATTAAAAATAAGATCATAAGCACTCCTCTATCCGCGATTGTACCTGAGGTAGTCATGGAATCTGAACCGGGTTTAGACTGCTTTGATCCAGTTGAACTCTCTGAATTAGCAAAATTATTGTCTTCATCTAAGCCTTCAACTTGTATGTTGGATCC